GGACATGGGTGACTACTCGAAAGCACTTGAATTTTACGAAAAATCACATCAAATAAAAGAAATAGCTCTTCCTCCGAATCATCCCGATTTGGCTACGTCCTACAACAACATCGGTCAAGTGTATAACAACATGGGTGACTACACGAAAGCACTTGAATCTCACGAAAAATCACTTAAAATAAGAGAAAAAGCTCTGCCTCCGAATCATCCCGATTTGGCTCTGTCCTACAACAACATCGGTGCAGTGTATAACGACATGGGTGACTATTCGAAAGCACTTGAATTTTACGAAAAATCGCATCAAATAAGAGAAATAGCTCTCCCTCGGAATCATCCCGATTTGGCTACTTCCTACAACAACATCGGTGGAGTGTATAAGGACATGGGTGACTACTCAAAAGCACTTGAATTTTACGAAAAATCACTTAAAATAATAGCAAAAGCTCTTCCTCCGAATCATCCCGATTTGGGTACTTCCTACAACAACATCGGTGGAGTGTACAAGGACATGGGTGACTACTCGAAAGCATTTGAATTTTACGAAAAATCACATCAAATAAAAGAAAAAGCTCTGCCTCTAAATCATCCCGATTTGGCTACGTCCTACAACAACATCGGTGGAGTGTATAAGGACATGGGTGACTACTCGAAAGCACTTGAATTTTACGAAAAATCACTTAAAATAAAAGAAAAAGCTCTGCCTCCGAATCATCCCGGTTTGGGTACGTCCTACAACAACATCGGTGTAGTGTATAATGACATAGGTGCCTACTCGAAAGCGCTTGAATTTTACGAAAAATCATATCAAATAAGAGAAAAAGCTCTGCCTCAGAATCATCCTGATTTGGCTTCTTCCTACAACAACATCGGTGAAGTGCACAACAACATGGGCGATTACTCGAAAGCAGTTGAATTTTACGAAAAATCACGTAAAATCTACGAAAAAGCTCTGCCTCCAAATCATCCAGATTTGGGTACTTCCTACAGCAACATTGGTGGAGTGTATTACTACATGGGTAACTACTCGAAAGCACTTGAAGTTTACGAAAAATCACATCAAATAAGAGAAAAAGCTCTGCCTCCGAATCATCCCGATTTGGACCTGTCCTACAACAACATCGGTGGAGTGTATAACAGCATGGGTAACTATTCGAAAGCGGTTGAATTTTACGAAAAATCACGTAAAATCCTTGAAAATGCTCTGCCTCTGGATCATCCCAATTTGGCTATTTCCTACAACAACATCGGTGAAGTGTATCACACCATGGGTGATTATTTGAAAGCACTTGAATTTCACGAAAAATCACATCAAATAAGAGAAAAAGCTCTCCCTCCGAACCATCCCGATTTGGCTCAACCCTACAACAACATCGGTGCAGTATATAAGTACATGGGTGACTACTCGAAAGCACTTGAATTTTACGAGAAATCACATAAAATCTGCGACAAAGCTCTGCCTCCAAATCATCCCAATTTGGCTCTGTCCTACAACAACATCGGTAGTGTGTATAATGACATGGGTGACTACTCAAAAGCACTTGAAATTTACGAAAAAGCACATCGAATAAAAGAAAAAGCTCTGCCTCCAAATCACCCCGATTGGGCTCTGTCCTACAACAACATCGGTGGTGTGTATAACGCCACAGGTGACTACTCGAAAGCACTTGAATTTTACGAAAAATCACTTAAAATAAGAGAAAAAGCTCTGCCTTCGAATCACCCTGATTTGGCTTCTTCCTACAACAACATCGGTCAAGTGCATAACAACATGGGCGATTACTCGAAAGGAGTTGAATTTTACGAAAAATCACATAAAATCCTCGAAAAAGCTCTGCCTCCAAACCATCCACGTTTGGCTACTTCCTACAATAACATGGGTACAGTGTATCACCACATGGGTAACTACTCGAAAGCACTTGAATTCTATGAAGAAGATCTCGAAATCAGGAGAAAAGCTCTACCTCCGAATCATCCAGGTTTGGCTATTTCCTACAATAACATCGGTGTCGTGTATAACCACATGGGAGACTACTTGAAAGCACTTGAATTTTACGAAAAATCACATAAAATAAGAGAAAAAGCTCTCCCTTCGAATCATCCCGATTTGGCTCAATCCTACAACAATATCGGTCAAGTATATCATGACATAGGCGACTACTCGAAAGCACTTGAATTTTTCGAAAATTCTCATCAAATCTTCGAAAATGCTCTGCCTCCGAATCACCCTGATCTGGCTTTGCCATACAACTGGTTTGGAAAAATTTATCGCGGCGTGAAAGATTATCCAAAAGCACTTGAGAATTTCGAAAAATGTCTCGGAATATGGAAAAAAGCCTTACCTGACAATCATCCGGATGTGGCTTTTGCATTTAGTAATATTGGTGATGTTCATCGATTAATAAGTAATTATGAAAAGGCACTTGCATTTCATCAAAAAGCATTAGGTATACAAGAAAATGTTCAATGTAATCCTCTGGAATGTGCAATGACATATATAAATTTAGGTGAAACTTATCGTGAAATGAAAGATTATTCAACGGCATTCACATATTTCGAAAAAGGATTAGAAATACGTGAGAAGAAATTACCAAAAAATCATCCTGATTTAGCTGTTGTATATCATAATATGGCAAAATTATATTTGGCTACACGAAAATATAGTGTGGCAATGAAAAATGTTCAACAAGCGATAGAAATAGCTCAAGAAAAATTACCTTCAACTCATGCTTATCTTTTGGAATATAAAGAAACATTTGAACAAATTCGAAAGGAAATGTAATTTATTTTTTTTTCGTTTACTTGCTGAGTAAATTGGTTTTGATGCCTTTTCACTTCTCGACTTTTCTAGGCTCATTTTCACGCGTGCGCACGCGCGCGACCAGGGAGAGGCATTATGCGTATGAAACGGATAGACACAGAGCGGACCACGCCTGGCGGGTAGGGCAATGTACATAGGTGTATCGTACATAATGACGGCAGGGACCTAAATACATTAAAGGCCTTCCCGAGTACTACACTGCTTTCGCCATTCCATGACGAACAGAATCTCTCTCTGGATCAGGTTACGAAGCCACCTGATAAGGCTGTGATATAAATTGGTATCCATCTTCTAACATAAATAACATAGACTTAACATAATAATAATAATATAGACTAAATGTGTACAATAACGAAGAAAAAAATTATTTCATCCGAAATAAATCATCTATATCTGATTCTAACATTATCTCAATGTAAGTATTGTTATGAAAATTTAATTTAGAATTGTTCTTCCAAGGAAACAGAAAATAAATTTTTTTTAATGTTTCAACTATTTATTTATTTGTTCAAGTCTTTCTAAAGATAAATAAGATCATTTTTGAAGCAACATATCGATTCTTGTTATTGGTATAAATCAATAATAAATCATATTCTTTTTTAACATCCTTATGTTTTTTTGTAATTTCATATAATTCAAAAAAAAACAGATGAATTTTAAAAACATCTTAGAATAAATTTCTATCATAAATCAATATATCCTAACATATATTATCATTGAAATCAAAAACACTGTTAAAAAAATGAATCATAATATAACATCATTGAATGAATGAATTTCATTATAAATTAGTACATTGTAAAGCAATGGATTTAAATAACATCATTCAATAAATTTCATTCTAAAATAATACATTTTAATATAATATGATTCAATGAATATCATTGTAAATTAATGAATTTTAACATAATATCATATAACGAACTTCATTGTAAATTAATACTTTTTGATGCATCATAAACTGATAAATTTCATTGTAATATAATGCATTTATTGAATTGTACAGAAATGAATTTTAAAAACACCAATCAATAGATTTCGTTCTAAAAAAATGCGTCATTATATAACATCGATCAATAAATATCATCAGAAATTAATGTATTGTAATCCTTTGCATCCCAAATTATTTCTACTGGACACTGACACGTCTAGATAAAAACCAACATGCTCACATACGGATTCACGCGCGCACACCTACACATCCATATCTACTAACTCGATACCCACCACATCCACACCGTCGAACATTCGTTATTGCTACATTCCAGTAGACTACATAATAATTATTAAATATGTATAGATTTCTTTTTCCTACTACAGAATTCAAAGGGTTAACATAACATTATGTAATAAATTTCATTATAAATGTATACATTTTAATGTATTATAAACTCATACGTAGCATTGTAAATATATTTCATTTATAATATTCTAAGTAATTATAAATTGATAACTGTAATGTCATTCATGAAAAATCATAATGTAAAATAATACTAATTATTGTAAGTAATATAAAAAAATTGTAATCCGTGAAAAATAAATCATATGAGTGTCATGTTTTATCTTTATTGAGCATGCTCATGGTTTATTCGATCGCATCGTATGAGAGTACCGGTGAAAATGTGTTTCTTATATATATATGTTTTTAAACGTACATTGCCAATCAAAGACATTCTAGTGATGCTGATATCAATTTGACGAACGATAATTGATGATGATGTACACATTCAAATATAATTGATTAATCATCATATGATTAATTGAAATGATGAGACACGAATTGATTTAATCGTTTTTTCATGTGCATGGATGTGAACACTTGTCCTTTGTTCATATACACTCCTTCATGGACAATACATATTCTTTTTTTTCTCTTTTTTTTGGATCAGAAGAAATTACTTGAAATTCAAATGATTGATAAATAATGATGAAGGAAAAGTGAAAAATAAAATCAATGACCAAAAAAGAATTCTGTTCATCATCATCATCATCGAAAAAACAAAAGCAATTAATGTGAATCATAAATCATAGAATTATTTTCCTCGACGTTAAAGCTCAAATTAGTACCAAAATTTAACATTTGGTAAC